AAGAAGACTTCAAGATATGGCAAAATTTAAAAATCAAATAAAAATTTTTACTAAGCCGCAAGTGGTATTTATAAACGTTTACGTTGAAAAGTTGCCTGCTGCCCAAATTTTAACTGTATATCGTCGGAAATAAGGTTCAAATCGATGCAGGTACTTATTTTTTTTTAACCCCAATATAAACGTTCCACGTCACGTCAACGGTTTTCAAAACTGTGACGTGGAACTCCCTGAATGGATCTGAGGGATGAGCCGAGTTGGTCTAGTTTTTACATGCGAAAATACACAAGGAACATTACACTACATTACTAGAAAAGTAATTTTGGATTGGAAACAGTTAAGCTAATTAATTGAAACATTTTCTAACCCGTAAGTGGTATTTGGGAACATTTACATTGAAAACTAACACGCTGTCCTAATTTTAACTTTGTGGCATCGGTAATAGAGTCTACGATGATGTTGGACGTAGTTATGTTTTTTTACCCCCAATATAAATGTTCCACGTCACCATTTTGTGTTCTTACCAGTTTCAAAAGTGCCGATTTTGATCTACTTTTTAGACAAAATCACCAAAAGAAAACTAGATTACGTACTACTAGAAGAAGAATTTTGGAAATAGTGAAACTTAAACCGTTTGACAATCCCGCAAGTGTATTTCTACTTGTTTAAGTTAAAAATTTATCTGTTATCCTAATTTTAACTTTATGTCACCGTTTATAAAGTCTACGAAGAAATTTCAAGTAGTTATGTTTTTTTACCCCCAATACAAACGTTACACGTCACTTTGAGATCCCATCGGTTTTCAAAAGTGTGACGTGTAACTCCCTGTATGGATTTAAGAGATGAACCGATTTTGATCTAGTTTTTAGGTGTAACAATTACACAAAGAACACTGAATTACTTTACAAGAAGACGAACTTTGGAAATAGAAAGAGCCTGTACAGTGATGAAATTCGCGGGATTTTAGATACATAGATATTTAGCAATTCTGCAACATATTAAATATTATGGAAGTATCCGCACTGGCGATATTGCTTGCGATTTATCGCGACGCGGTGCGAAAAAAATTCATGCGAAATTTATTTCGCTGTGCGGACAGCCAGAAGTCACTATAACTGATTAATCAAATCATATAAGTGACCCGTTCTAAAGTTACTTGTTGTCCAAATTTTAACTTTATATTATTGGAGATAAGATTCAAATCGATGCAGGTAGTTGTATTTTTACGACCAATACAAACGTTCCACGTCACCATTTTTGAGATTCCACCGGTTTTCGAAAGTGTGACGTGTAACTCCCTGAATGGATTGAAGGGATGAGCCGATGTTGATCCAGTTTTTATATGCAAAAAGTATTTACACACAAACTTTTTTATTGGTGTGAGATTAATAATAAAATATTAAGAAGGGACAAGTACTGCCCTATTGTATCCATCTTATTTATTAATGTGTGTTCGCTTCGGTAATTGTCTTTGATTTAGAAATTTTTCACGGTGCGTACCGACTTTCGTTATGGCCACTGTATTCGTCGTATAATGAGTAAAATCATAAGACAACAGTCTATTGCGTTTCTGTTGTCTATTGTTATGTCTAGAAATTCTTTGCACTATGTGGAAAATACAATGCGTACACGTATGTCATGCCATGCGCATGCACACATTTCATATTGCTTTTAGCAACGATTTGAATGAAGTTTCTTTTGTCGGATTATCAACTCTTTCTTCCCTATTTACTCCAAAATCTATCATTTATTTTATCATTCATTCATATTTCCGATCTCTTCGAGATTATTCTGCAATATCACATAATATATAGCACCTCTGCACAAATCTATTTCGGTCGGGGACAGCCTTTTCTGATTACACTATATGACTTATTCATGGTCCCCTTATTAAAATTCTATAAGCAATGACATAACCTGGTGTTGCACTTTTGTCTTTGAAAAGAACGCCATTAGGTGTTATGTCTCAATTATGCCTAACGCTAAATAAATCGTTATCTATTCGAATTCTTGATACTGAATCTACTCGTCTTATAAATATCGCGGAGAACCTAACGGGTAACCGGGGCTCCGGCTCGACGTGCAGGGGAAGGAACGGGGTGGTTTTTAGTCAGTAAGAGTCTGACACTCCCTCCCGCCTCACCCAGGTGGGAGCAGTCATTCGATGATTTTCCCCCCTTAAAAAAAAACTCGTCTTATAAATGTATGTAGGTATGTACTTATGTATATCTGTTTTCTAAGAGTCCCTCAGTTCAAAGTAAATATTTGGATAGTCTTCTATTTGTTTTAATATTTTAGAGTACATTCGCTAAGTATGAATACGCAGATTACGTAAATTATTTGTTGATATCATGTCATCTTTCTGAGAAAACTACGATCAATTCTCACAATTTTGGACGGGTATATAATTATGTTCTGGTTGTTTACGTTTTGGGTATCATAACAACGTCGTATTTTAGCTAAGCCTGATACTTCTTCTTGAGTAATAATAACCTTTATACCTTATGGATCTCGTAAAGTAGTATTTTTTTGGGTACACTTCATTGTCCCAACATCAGGTGCGGCTGATTCTCTGGCGTACGTGATCAGATCAAATGTTGAATTCAACCTTATTCAAAGATTCAACACAAAAAGCTAAAAAAAATCTTGGGAATACCCTTCTGCAGTCCTTGCTCATCTATGAACTAGAGATGCCTTTCAATAGCGAATTATTTAAATTGAGACTTTATTTCTTTGCTCTTTAAGCTCAATGTACGGCGTAGAAGTTGGTTGAGGGGCCATCAAATAAATTTTGGATGAATAGATTTACAACTAGCTATAAACGAGCTCCAGGGAGGAGTGCTTGCCACACGGTTATGTAATTGCGTTTTAGAATCGAATTATTTAACTGAGTGTGGGTAGAACTAGAAGCCCATCGCAAACTCAACACAAAGACTTCGAGTTTTTAAGTAAGCTTTGTCTTTTGTTCCAGGATTCCTTTACGATGGATGAAGATGCAGATATTAACGCTATCATTTGGAAGGTTTTAAAAACAGGTTAGCCTTGCTGTTATTCTATTGTAGCAAAGACTTATTGTTTTCAAAATAGTCCAATTACCTCGGTTCGAAATTACGAACCGTAAACAAATCTGCGTAATAATATATGTGTCATTAAAAAAAATACGGATTAAGTAATATAGGCCTTTGTACGAAGTCGCTACCTTAAACCAAAACAAAACAAAGAAAAGGATCCCCGGGTTACTACTGCGCAGTAGGATTCTGTTGTCCCACCCCCTTCTACACATCTATAAAACGAATGACGTTTCTCTCACCCCAGTGTTAACAGTTTTTTTTATGAATACAAAACCGTTGCTTTGTTATACCCTTGCGTAAATTCTCAGAAATTACGCTACACCTTAAACCGGACATAGGAAACCCCACAAATTGACCTAAAATGTTCAGATATCCTTTACGCAACAAATTACGCGAATTTGCAGACTTTTGGCTTCAATAGAATTAGACATTACGCTTAATCATATTACCTGCCAAACGGTAATCTAAGAACAGCTTACCCAACTTTGAAAATATTGACATCATTACTCAAACCACATCATGCCACTAAGTGGCGTAGATTGTTGGCTGGCTAAATTAGATCATCTGACAATGTTTTTTAAGATAATACCTATGTACCCACATGAGGCGATATCATTGTATCAACTATTCTGCTGTCTATTTTGTTTACAGTTCACTGTTTTGGAGAACACCTGATTGTTCTGTTCACACATAGATAGCATTGTTACTCTTCGATGAAATGGGAATGCTAAAATATCTAAAACCGTGCTGAATTTCAATAAGTTGATAATAATACTGCTAAATTGAAGAGAAGCCATATTATGTATGCGGTAATTCTTTATTGACTTGCAGTACTATCTGTTAGGGTTATGTTATTGTTATTGTCGGTCACGTAGGCCAGCGAGCGAGAAGGCTCTGTAAACAGAGACAGCGAATGAGAAAGAGAAGTGCTGCATGTTAGAGGGGGACAGAGAGGTGGCGTGACAACAAACAAACATGGCGGCGCCGGTTGCCGGTTGGACCGGTTGGCCCGTACCACGTGCGTTTTGCGTTCTGCGCTTGTTCCCCGTATCTTGTTTGTCAACAAATGCCCTGTGAAGGTCATCCATGGGAGGGTTAGGAAGACAAAGGAATCCCTGTTGCATAACAACGTTTATAAATAAAGAGTTGTAGGACCAAAAAATCAGAAAATCTTCTTTAGATTTGAAAGGCGATGTAATATACGTGTGCGAATGTGTTCGTTGATTCGTTCATTCAGATTGAGAATTTAGCACAGCTTGATGATAAAGTAGCCTACGCGTTAATCATCAAGGTAATGCTGATGAAACAAGGGCTAAATTGTATCATTTTCAAATGTTTACTCATCTAATATTAATATAATCACGATTAATAAAAATATTTTATATTCATTTTAATATTCTTATATGAATATCGTTGCAAAACTATGCGCATTTTCGGGAAAATACTTGGATATAATCATATTGTATTTTCATTACTCGTTTAATTGTCAATTATTACTATAACGTTATTATATCTAAAAGTAAAACATAAAAAGTGTATTTTCCCAGATTTCCACTTAGTAAATATTCTTATAAGAATATCATTGAAAAACCTACATTTTCACGACTACCTTCATATCTACATGGTAATGGGATGAAGCGTTCTAAAAGGTTTTGTTTCTTTTAAATGTAACATCTGGCGATTTTATATACTTGGATGGCATGATATAATCATGTGTACTTTATATATTATATATTGATAGTTACGACGACGAGCGACGTGGAGAAAAAATGAACGACAAAAAATATAAACACGTCAGCAGTGCGAGTGAGCACGCATGCGCGCAGAAGAGAGAGGCTACAATAAACACAGCTTTGCGAACGGCGGAGATTGGGGGAGCAGTGAAGGGGGAGGGGGGATTGTGTATGTGCGCGCCGGGTTTGAGCCGGCTGTAAGAACGAGTCTTCAGTTGGATTTAAGAACATCGGACGGGCGGGCGTGTGTAGGATGGATCGCTAACGACACCAGCAGTTTTTTTCATTCCGCCTTCTAGCAGTGTTTGTTTATTACCTTCCGGCACATTTTCCGTAAATCCTTCTCGACCGTGGTGCTTTATAATTTTTATTTTGGCGTTTATTTTCTATATTAAACTTTAACGCCGTTCCGATTTCACGTCGAGAAGGCGGCCGCCACAAGTTTGAAAGCGGCTTTTCAAGAGTAGTACACCTACTCGTTATAATTCTCAATATCGCTGTATCAACGCATCAAGCAATCAGGATGGTGAAGAAGGTTTCAGAAGAGAGTGTAGATAGCGGTAAGTCGACTTCTGCATAATTCAATGCGATGGGTGCTCATTTAGCGCAAGTCACACACGATATTTTCAAACATCTGCCTGACCGGCTTTTCTTCGTACTGCGTAGTTGATTTTGCATATTATTACTGTTATTGTTTTGAAATTCTTTGTATTTTAAAATGAGCAACCATTACAACTTATTTTGTAGTTAGTTTAGTCACTTAGAGCTTCGAATATGAAATTGCTAATTAGAATCTTATAGAATCTGCTTTAGATATGCTGCTTTGAAGTTTACTGAAAGTTCTGAAAATTTTCATTTTTTCCAAAATTATTAATCGAATGCAAAAAATACATTGTTTAGTTATATATTATTAAAATGATAATGATTCATAAATGTTTACATGTATTTCTTTGCGTTTCATCATTTTGTTCAGCATTATCATTCTTAAACGCTTCATCATGATCAATTGTATACTTTATATCACCGATTGCGTCATGTGCCGGTACCTATATCACACCTTCAATAAATTTAGCCTTTTGATTAATTTGTTTTGATTCTGCAATCAGCTGTTCATTTTCCCGATAATTACCTATGCTAAACTTTACGACCATTAGAAATTTTCTTGTTTAAGATAAACAAATTATTACTGATTTGTCCTTGATTGTTTGCATAAAGGTATTGTAGTTATTAATCTATAGATGTACTGTAAAATACTGACCACACTCAATGCATTTTAAACTTAGAATTTTATGACCGCCTAGTGACGTGAACGTGATTGTTATTGCACTTTAGTGCAGTATATTCATTCTACTATGGAAATTCCACGTTGGCAATGTTGTTTGCTTTTATAATCTCAGTACTATAATTAAAAGATTTAGAATAAAAAGCCCGTAGGGTGTATGGTATAAGAAAATGCCAAAGTTCACGTTATACGGAGCGAGCGTTGACCGGTCAGCCAGCACACTATTTCACAATCTGCAATTTCGCAACATCTACTGAATTCGAGTCGATATTATGTTTATGATTTTGCTCAGGAACACATTCAGGCAGTTTTATTACATTTAACGTGAATGATATAATCAAAATATTTCCTGTTCCGATTTTATTGTTTGTAAATGCTCAGACTGTTGCTAAGTTGACATTTTCTTCTGATTTCTGTTTTGTTAGTGTAGGTAGGTAGTCAGTAAGTTCGAATCGTTAATATGAACTTGGAAAAAAATTATTATTGTCACGTTTAAAGATTTTTGCCGTTCATTTTTTAGTATTTTACCCAAATGAAATGTAAAATTATTGGAATGCGTATCATTATCGCTAAATTATATTTGTGTGTGTTTGTGTTGTATGGCACATTTTTGATTCTCCTCGCCTCTTCATATCAGGCTTTTATTGGTTGTTATGGGTGCACTGTTTAAAAAATCAAATTGGCAAGAATGCGTTTATAATTTCATGCAGTTTCATTACTCTCCACGGTTTCAATTCAACATGGCCGCTGGAGCGCGTCGCCCCACGGCGTTCACGGCCAAGGTCACCTACTAAAACAAAACTGCGCACTAGTATTACTGAATTTATATAATAATACTTTCTTGGGAATTTTGTTGTTCTGTAACAGATGTTAGTTTTCATGGTAGATTTATGGTAATTGTTAATGAAAACTTCGCTTTTATGTTCTTGCAGAGTTAATTAAATATTCCATTAAGGTTTTATAGCCAAATTGCAAGAATCAAGTGGTCGAGCTTTCCGGTGTTAGGCTTTCAACTTTTTCAAGTTATTAAAGAAAAAATGAAATCAATCAAAAATTGGCAGTTGCAAATTTTCAATTCCAGTTGATTGGAATCAATCAATCGTGTCCATCGACTGAGTAAAGCAGAGTAACCTTGACCGTGACGGACTTCACGCTTGTTCCGGTGTAATATCAAACTTCGCTCCCTTCACCTCGCGTACATTCCCCCCCTTACTCCTTTTGCGAATCGATTTGCAGTTGCATATCTCTCTACGCAATAGTGTCATGAAACTTCAGATTTGTTCTAACTTTACCCTCTTCAGTTTTCCCTTTCATATCGATCGCGCCATTCATTCGTGTTATTGAATCACTAACATAAAAATATCCTTGTACCTGTATAACATTTAAAACGTTAATCGTGACTCGACTAGGTAGGTAGATAGACATTTTTTAGAATGTTCTTTCTGTTTTCTTATGAAACGTTCACAGAGGTAGTCTTCTTCAAAAATGGAAGTTACCGTTGTGTCGTGAACGATTGCTTCATTGGCTATATTTATATGCGTTATCATTAGACAGGGGGCAAAATCAGTGGTGAGTGAAAGTGGTTTGTTACGTACTGCAGTAGATAGGTACTGCTCATTGAAACGCCCTAGTTGAAGTTTCACCTAGATAATATCTCGCTACGTTCGGTTGCAGTGCCAGGCCGAGTTGGCAGTTTATGCATCACCATCTAACCGTCGACTTTGATCTCTGATTATAACGATTATGACAAATTGGCCAACTGATTTAGAAAATGCATTCACTGTTGCAGTGTTTCAGAACAATATACCAAAAGTACGCGTTTTATGCCTCTTTGAATGAAATGCGAATCATAAACATTAATTCTAAACAATGTCTATCAATGTTTGCGTGTTAAAGGCAAATTGCATCTCTCACAATGCATTCGTTATTTGTTGCGATTAGAAAGCAACGATTTTGAATCGCTTAAGGGTATGAAACAAAAGTATAATAGGCCTACGGTCGGCAACTAGAGAGCGTATTCGTGGCCAAGCGTTTAAGCCAGCCTACCACTACCAGATTAGAAAGTAGAAACTAACAACCGAGGGCAGAAATACCGTGGTGACAATTTTGTACTAGACTTTTTCTAGATGTTTTAGGTCTTAAGTTCTTTGATGTGCCAGAAATTATATGAAAGATGATGTAATAAATTGGTATTCTGAAGTTTCTGCTACAATTAACAACGATTTGTAATTAGTCCAACAAATTAATGCTATTCGCATGCATACATATCCATCGATTTGCATGATTAGTTGATTACTGAGTTAATTTGCGGAACACTGTTTTGTATTTATAATGAATCAGTAATAATTCAGTTTCTTTGCGAAGGTTCGGAATATATTTAACGAATCAAATTAATGCCATTCTTGAACAAACTTTATTTGACAATACAGTCGTTATAATTTTGATAGCCTTTTGTTTATTATTTGGGTCAACCATTGTTCACCTCGACCACGAGTAAACCAGGTAATGCTGAACTTAGGTAAGGCGATTTCGAAAATGGCTTAAATGTTTAGGATGTAGAAGCATCA